AATGAGTGATTAAGAATAGATTTGAATAAATGAAGTGAGTAATTGAAAGGATGAGTGAATGAGTGGTGGAGTGAATGGGTGAGTGAGTGAATGAGGATTTAGTAAATGAGTGAAGGAGTGATTGAATGAGTGAGTGAATGAGTGAGCAAGTGAGTGAATGTGAGTGAATGAGTGAGTGAGCAGGTGAATGAATGGTGAGCGGGTGAATGAGTGAGTGAGCAGGTGAATGAGTGAGCAGATGAATGAGTGAGTGAATGAGTGAGTGAGTGAGTAGGTGAATGAGTGAGCAGGTGAATGAGTGAGTGGTGGTGAGTAAGTGAATGCAGTGAGTGGGTGAATGGTATTGGAGAGTGAGTGAGTAAACAAGTGAATGAGTGAGTGAATGAGTGAGTGAATGAGTTAGTAAATGAGCGAAGGAGTGATTGAATGGTGGTGGCGAGTGAGTGAGCAAGCGAGTAAGTGGTGTGAATGAGTGAGTGTGTGAATGAATGAGTGAGCAGGTGAATGAGTGAGTGAGTAGGTGAATGAGTGAGTGGGTGAATGGTGAGTGAATGGTGAAAATTGAGTGGGTAGATGGTGAGTGAGTGGGTGAATGAGTGAGTGAATGAGTGAGTGAGTAGGTGAATGAGTGAGTGAGTGGGTGAATGGTGAAGCTGAGTGAATGAGTGAGTGGTGAGCGGGTGAATGAGTGAATGAGTGAGTGAGTGAATGAGTGAGTGAAGGAGTGATTGAATGAGTGAATGAGTGAGCAAAGGAGTGGGTAAGCAAGTGAATGAGTGAGAGTGAGCACATGAATGGAATGAGTGAGCAGGTGAATGAGTGAGTGGGCGGGTGAATCGGTGAGTGAATGGTGGTGAGTGAGCAGGTGAGATGAGTGAGTAGGTGAATGAGTGAGTGAGTGGTAGGTGAATGAGTGAGTGGTGGTAGGTGAATGAGTGAGTGAGTGGTAGGTGAATGAGTGAGTGGGTGAATGGTGAGTGAGTGAGTAGGTGAATGGTGGTGAGTGGGTGAATGAGTGGTAGGTGATTGGTGAGTGGGTAAATGGTGGCGGAGAGTGGACAGGTGAGTGAGCAGGTGGCAGATGAGTGAGTGAGTGAGTAGTTGTCAACTGAGCATGTCCCTGGGCTAGTCATTTCGCTGCATCTCAGCTGTAGGAAGTTCAGTGTTGGCGCAGGGCACGCAGGCAGTTTCAAGGGGAACATGGGCATGGCTCAGGAGGGCTTGGCAGTGGCCTGGCGCTGCTGCCCACGTACCCTCTGTGTACACTGCCTTCCGCCTCCTTGGAACAGCCTAAACAGGTAGGCCTACCCCATTGTTCAGTGCAGAAACCTGAGGCTGAGCTTAGGGGTAGGCCTTTCTGGTTCTAAACCCTTCCCTTAACCATTCTCCATGCTGCCGGATCACCCAGGGCCAGAGTCAGGAGGAGGAGGAAGAGGTAGAGAGGAGGGGAGGGGAGGAAAACGGAGAGAGGAGGAGGGAGGTGCCCTTCCCTTGGTCCCTTTCGATAAATCTTGCTCTGGCTCTGGCTGGGCAGATTTCCTGAGGCCTCCAGGCTCCAGCCCTCCACATAAATTTGCCCTGGAAACAGAAGGACTTAAAATCAGCAGCTCCTGGCAAAGCATGCATTCAGTATTGCTCAACCATAAACATGTGGAAAAGGGTAGAAGCATGTGCTTAAAATTTTTGAGAAAAAGAACCCTTGAGCCCCACCCACCCTCACCCCTGCTCAGGTGTGAGACGGGAGGAATTGTGGGGGCCGTCACATCTGGGCATGGTGAGGTGCCACCGTCAGCTGTGCTGACCCTCCTGCAGGGACGGCAGGCTCCCAGGTAGCACGAACACCTTCCTGAGGGTTGAAGGAGCTCATGTCAGAGTGCAGGTGGCCCACAGTCAGGATGACGACACCCTCGGCCGCAGGTGTCATCGCGTGGCCTTTAGAATTCAGCACGGCCGCACCGCAGTGGTGCTGGAGGAGGATGGAGCCCAGCACATGTCTCAGGCTTCTCTCTGGCTCCGGCTGGAGTCTGACTACCTGGGCAGGCGCCTCTCTCCTGTAGGTTTTGATCGTCACCTGCCCGATCCACAACTGCTCCGAAAGCTGCGGCAGCCCGTTCGAGAGCCCCATTGACCCTTGAGTCTCTGACCACATACAGAGCCGATTACATCTTCTTTAAGGTAAGAGTTGCTTCCGAACTTTGGGAAATTGGCAATAGGCGCTCAGCTGGATGAGCCGCCTGCAGCAAAATGGAATAAGCTCCAGAAAGAGGCAATAAAATGGGTATTTCTCTTTACAGTGCTACTTTGCAGATCACGGTTTCTGACCATAGCTGTGGCTACAGGCATCCACAGAAGCCCCCACAAACCCAGCAATGGGGCTCAGGGACACGGAGGCTCCACCTTCCTTCCTGGCCTGCCATGAACCTCCCAGCCCTCGGGAGTCCCCAAACCTAAGCCCATTTAGCCCCATTTGGCTTTATCAGTGACTTTGGAACTGACCAGGTTTCTCTGGTCCCGACTGCGCATGAGCACCGGCTGTCCACAGCCCTGTGACCAGGACCCTGCTGCCCCCTGTGCCCTCCAGGTCACAAGTGGGCCCACCCTCAGCAGCCACGTGGTCCCAGCTAATTCGAAACTCCTAGCACACAACCAATCCATCAGCACTGCTTCACCTTCATGGATGCAACTCAGCATCCCCAAACAGCCCCAGCCCTCTCTTGTGATAGCCCCAGTCACTGCCTGTTTCTTCTGGCCCTGAGACAGAGTCTGCTTCATGGACTCCCATCACTGGGTCAATTCTGCCCTCTGGGATCCTGTAAACAAGTCAAGATTTCCCCAAAGAAAGCCCACTTGAGGGCAGCTGCTGGGATGCCCTCTCCCCAGAAGGCCCTCCTCCTATACAGAGGCAGGCTGGGTTATCACTCAGTGCAGCAAGGGAACACGTGCCTGGGAACCTGAGCATCTCAGAGGGTTAGGGCCTGATTGTCGGGTGTGGGCTGCAGGAGGTGATTTTGTGTGGCGTGCTCCCCAGCCGCCTCCTTGCCCTGTCTCAGCCACGCCAGTCACCCTAGCTCCCCACTCTACGCTCTGTGCCAGAATACCATGGACTTAGGTGCCAGGGCAGGCATGGGCATCCCAGCCCCACCGTTAAAAGCAGGCCAGACAGAGGCTTCTGCCACCACCAGCACTGACCTCCAGCCCTGTCCCGTCTCCACTGCTCTCTGCTGAGCCAGCCCTGGCTTTTGATCCTCAGTCTGTGCGTTTGCTTGCACTGTTCCCTGTGCTGTGCCTTGCTTCTCCAGCCCGGGCTGATTCCTGCTCCTTCTCGAAGACTCAGTCATGCATTTCCCTCCTCCAGAAGTCTTCTGCCTCCACTTCAGGCTCACTGGTGCACTCCTCTGAGGACCCCCAGCCCTGTGCCTTCCTCCGTCACAGCCCAGGCCCCACTGTGTCATTCCGTACCATTTACTCCTTTTGTCCCTACACACAGCTCAGGCAAGCTGAGGGCTGGCTACAGATCCCGAACCCACCACCTCTTTCCCAGCGCCTAGCATTACATTTTCTGCGGATGTTCACTAAGTACTAGAGCAAGGACAGTGTCGGTTCTCTGGGCAACCATCTCCTGTGTTGAGTGGTTTCTAAACATTAGACCCGCTGACCTGTCAAAGCCCTGCAGCCTGGGGGACCCCGGAGTCACCTGGAGGAGCAGGCTTGGTTGTCACTCAGTGCAGCAAGGGGGAACACATGCCCTCGGGAACCTGAGCGTCTCCGAGGGGGTAGAGGAACTGATTGTCAGGTATTGGTGTTCCCTCAGGGTAGTTTATTAGGGTGTGACTCTGGATTGGGGGATGTGAGGTAGAAGGGCCTGATTGTCAGGTGTGGGCTGCAGGAGGTGATTTGTGGGGGCTGCAAGGAAGCCGGGCGTGACTCTGGATTGGGGGATGTGAGGACATGAGGTCCTGCTAGGATCGGGCGTCTCAATCTTCTCTAGAGGGAGGGGTGACTCAGGGGAGGCAGGAGCCGGGCTGTGAAGCAGCAGCCCTCGCTCGTCTCAGCCAGGGTGGTTGCCTGGGCATCTTGGAGGTTTGAACGACATTCACGTCTGGTCTGTGTTCGGACCCGATCGCGGGGTGGTCTCAGGTGGTCTCATTCTGCACAAGGTCACAGTGAGCTTGTCTGGGGTTGGTGCTCACGACATTGTTTGTGAGGGGCAGGAGAAGGGGGGCCACTGGCTCCATCCAGTTTCTACCCTGGTTTCCATCTTTCTCAACAACTGCAGAGGAAAGCTCTCCCTGCCCCAGCCCAGGCCTCCCCTGCCCTCTCCCTTCCTCTCTCCTCCCTCCTCCCACCCTGGTCCTCAGAGGATCCGGGAGCCTGTGCTGGGATGCGAGAAACCTCAGCCCTTCCAGCCTCACCTCACCACCAACAAGGTGGCGGTGCTGGTGGCTCAGGAGGCTGCACCTCCAGTTCTGTGGCAGTGAGGATCCGTGGCCTCTGTGATCAGAGACCTGCCACAGTCCTGTCCTGAAGGGCCTTTCTGTCTCTGGGAACAGATGTCCATAGCCACAGTTAATGGGGTTGATTGTCATGGGATCAAATGAGCTGCCCGGGAAAAGCACTCAGGATGGTGCCAGCTTTGTTTGTCATGCCTCGAAGTTCAGTGGTCACCTTTGGTGATGAGCTCATCTTTGGCCTGTCTCCTTCTCCATCGGAACTTTTTCTACCTTGTTCCATAAGTTGGATGCAGAGAAACAAGGCAAAGAGAGAGCATGGGGAAAGAAGTTAGTTCTGACTGAAGGAAGCAGAGGACGACTTCCCAGAGGAGGGGTGTTAATGTGGGGCTTTGAAGGATGAATAGGAGTCTGCTCATTTCAAGCAGAACAGGTATAAGCAAAGTAAAAGGGCATTTTCACTTGCTGAATATAATGTGTAGTTTTCCATTCATGAGACCTGGCTGGAGAGGGAATCAAGCTTCTCAAAACTGTGTTTCTTCCCCCGGTTAGGTAACATCAGCAAACCGGACAAAATACTATGTCTCTTATCGCCGCAATGAATTTGTCCTGATGAAGCTGCCGAAGTATGCATTGCCAAAGGTAAGGTGCTCCCCACTCTGCCTGGCCCTGTGCCAGGCCCTAAGCCTATCCTGACTCGTGGGGCAGCAGGACTCACACACAGGTGCTTGGCGGCTCCAGGTCAGGATGGACAAGAACAGTGTGGCCACACTTCCTCCAGCCACTCGCCCCTCACACGCTCCATTCCAGCCCACCCAGCCCTTCCAGACTCAGCTGTGCCCAGCTTCATCCCGGGCCTCTGCCAGGTTCTTCCCTCTGCCTGGTTCATCTTTCTCCAGAACTTTTGCATGTGTGGTATTTCGGGAGAAATATTGCTTGCTAATGGCCCCGCAGGCGAGCCCAGGCCTCTGTCTTCTGGTCCCATCCCGCTCTTCTCCTTGCTGGTGCCCAGGGTGCCAGGGACACCTCCATCCAGTGTCCATCTCCTGCTCTCCTCTGACATTGCTGGGGTGGAGAGGATCTCTGCTGTACTCACCTCTGCATTCCAGCCACCTAGTATGCTGCCTGGCATACAGTAGGTGCTCGGTTAATGCTATTGCCTTTCCCTTGCTTCAGAAGGCAAAGAAGGGGGACCAGGGGAGCTGGGAACTGCCCAACTCTGCCCCTGCCCCTGCCTTGGGGCCTCTCTCCCTGCTGTTAATATATTATTCCCACCTACCAGAGGAGGTGATGGAAGTTCAGAGAGTCAGTAACCTATCTGAGATCACACAGCTAGTTAGAAACAAAGGCAGATCTCAGACTGAGGTCCGGGTGAGCCAGCCCAGCCTTATGCCACACCTCCCTCCTGAGGACATTGGGATGACACCTTCTGAAGGTCTCTGTCCCACATGCATAGCCGAGAAGCAGATGAACCTTCCCTTCCTCCACATGTATTTACTGAGCACCAAATATAAACCAGGATGTGTGCTAGGAGGCCATGCTGTGAATCAGAAGCCCCAGGATCCTGCTCCCGTGGGCTTTGCAGACAGGGAACAGGCAGGAGATCCCGTAGACAGACAAATGCATAAAATAATTGCAGGTTGTAGTTTGTGCTAAGAAGGGAACAAGAGGGAAAGACAGAGAGTGATGGAGGGCATGTGTATGAGTGTATATGTGCGTGTGTGTGTGTATGCTCACGTGTTTGTGGGTGTGGGTGTGCTCATGTGTGTGACTGATTTAGGCCAGGCAGCTATGGAGGCCCCTCTGGGGCTGGGAGTGGGAGGGACTCTTTATCCGAAGCTCCGAGGCAGCTCTGAGGACAGCAAGGGAGAAAGTCATTCGGGAGGAGGGCAGAGCAGGAGCTAAGACCCTGGGGTAGAGAGTGAGAGTGGAGTGGGAGGGGGCTGGCGGCTCTGGGCCCCCCAAGCCCAGGCTGTGGCTTGTTGTAAAGTGCTTGGCCATGGGAGCTTCTGCGCTGGGCACCCTCAGACCTCTCCTGAGCCAGAAATGGGAAAAGTCTAGGAGGGCTTTTAAAAACTTCTCTTTAAAAAACAAGAAAAAAGGCCGGGCGCGGTGGCTCACGCCTATAATCCCAGCACTTTGGGAGGCCGAGACGGGCGGATCACAAGGTCAGGAGATCGAGACCATCCTGGCTAACCCGGTGAAACCCCGTCTCTACTAAGAAATACAAAAAACTAGCCGGGCGAGGTGGCGGGCGCCTGTAGTGCCAGCTACTCGGGAGGCTGAGGCAGGAGAATTGCGTGAACCCAGGAGGCGGAGCTTGCAGTGAGCTGAGATCCGGCCACTGCACTCCAGCCTGGGCCACAGAGCGAGACTCCCTCTCAAAAAAAAAAAAAAAAAACAAGAAAAAAAATAAAAGGAAATTAAAGAAAAGGAAAAAAGGAGTGAGTTTAATAGACTGAACGCCAGGCTTGGCTGAGTATATAAATTAAAAGCTAATGGTTTCATTTCAGGCAAAGGCACTAGGTGTCTGTCCCTCTGGAGTGAGGGACCTTTTCAGCATCTGAGAAGCCTTCCTTTGATTTTGGGGGCTACAGCATTAGAAGCTCCTGTGTCCTGGGCTCTTTGTCCTGGTGTTGGGGAGAGGAAAGTGCACAGCCCAGAATTAGGCCCATACAGGGACCCTCTCTGCTCCCCTCTAGCATTGGAGGCTGGGGTGGCTGGGCCAGGAGTCAGCCTGCTGCCAAGGGTGCTCTCAGGAGCCTATGGCTGTAAGTCATGACCTCTGTGACCTTGAGCGATGGCTTCCTGGACCTCTGCTCCCTAGACCTGCAGATGTGATGTCAGTGAGATCTGCAGGAAGCATCAGGTCGTGTCTCCCGCTGTGGACCCTTAACAGTGTGCATTTTACCCTGATTTTCTTCTTCCCCCATTTCTACGGAAATTGGAGGTCATTGAAAAGAATCAAGAGGCTCTCACAGCAGTGACAGACACACACCCAGCCTCATGTCATTAAGTTTCAAGGGAAGACCAGGGACTCATCCAGGGCAGGTGGCATGTGCTGTGACTGTCAGTGTCCTCCCTCAGGGGTCCATACACAGGATCCAGTGACCAGCAGTTGAAGATGATGGTCACTTCCTCATCAAGAAGTGGGCAAGCTGGGCTGCTGTCAGGAGAACGGGGCCCCCAGAGCCCTCCGGGGTCTTCAAGACCACATCTCATGTAGCTGAGACCTTTGCCCAGCCAGCCAGCCTGCTTCCTCTCCACCCAGGTCAGGACAGCAGCCCGCCCAGTGTTTCCCATCAACAACTTGTAGAAGTGGCTAATTGAATTTCCTCATCAGATGTTGTTGTTTTATGGTGAATTTGTAACTTGCCTGTTTCCTCTTCCCACAGACTCAACCCCCCTCTTTTTTTTCTTTTTATATTTTTAATTGCTTAATTAACATTATGAAAATCATAGACATTGGAGCAGGGGGCTCACCTGCAAACCTCTCACCCCCTGCACCCGATGTCTCCCCCACCAATTCTTGGTCTCCCCGCATTCCTCAGCCATATGCAAAAGGGCTTTTACGTAGCTGAATTACAAGCAGTCCTGGGTCTCCAGCCTGCTTTCACAGGACACTATAGACTGTGAAAGTCTCACATGAGACTGTTTCTTGAATGATGTACGATATCTACTTTAAATGACTATGAAGCTTTCTACTGAGGAGACTGTACTTCGTTGAGCTAAGCCAGATTCTTGTTGCTTGGAGATTTGGGTTGTTTCCATTTTTTTATAATTATAAACAGTGCTGCAATGAATCTCTGTGTGCCCACAGGTACTTCTTTTTAATTTTCTCAAGTTAAAGTCTAAGAAGAACTTCAGAACAAAGGATATAAATATTTGTGTAGCTTAGTTGCTTGGGCAAGCTGGGCTGCTGTCACCAACAAAGTTGGAACAGATCAGCTTCAACATAGCTTTGCCATTGTTTTCTATTTTCCTTCTATGTTAAAGGGTATAAATGATACCATCCTGCTGTTTTAATTTACCTGTCTATGAAAACTGTAAAGGGTGGGCTGTTTTTATATTTGTCAATATCCTTTGCTTATTTATTTGTCATCATTTAAAAAAAAAATATTCAGTTTCCCTAACAGAGGTAAACAATAGGCCAAAGCTATAAACAGACCAAAGAGAAGAAAAATCCAAATAACTGCCAATTATATAAAGGCATTCATAACAATGAGTAAATGCAAATTTAAAGGGAAATATTCCTGTATTTGCCATAAATATATTTAAAGTAAAATAAAATTTCTAAACCATATTAATAAAGAAAGAAGTGACATCAGATAAGATGGCAGAGCAGGACGCCCCAGGAATCCATCTTCCCACCTAGACAGCAATGGCACTGGCAGAACCCATTCAGTGTAACTGCTTTGGAATTCTCAAGTGTGTTTTAGAGCCTGCATTTTCCAGGGCAAGGCATGGATGGCATATCAAAGTCAATTTGGATAATGTCAGCTCTTAGCCTGGTAGAGGCTTCCCATCCCCCACTCCTCCAGCCTCATGGCAGGCAAATGTGCATGTATCCCTAGAGCAGCAGGCACAGAGCTTGAAAGAGCTGGAGGGCGCAGGGGTGCTATAAGAACCTTGTCTTCCAAATACTGAGGATCTGTGCTCTGACTACTGACTGCTTCTGACGACAGACGTGCAGATACCCAGACAGGCAGCCACTGTTGCAACCACCATGAGTTGAAACAGCTTCCAGGAGATTTAAAGGGTCACAGCCTGTTTTACTCTCTTTTATTTTTCCCCCTTTTCCCTTTTGGGAGCCAGACATTCAAAAGCAACTGTAGATATGGGAGAATTTAGAAAATCACTATGCATGCCCAGGGAAAAGCAGAGGCTCAGAAAAGGCCTAGGAAGATGTTAAGCTTACATGTATAGCTGATCCTTGGTAAAGATATAGCCTACAACCATCAAAAATAAGAACAAAACATGGCAAGCTCTATGGAAAGGGGATAAGCTAATTTCCAGAGTTACCATATTATTGTCCAATCTAATTGGACATTAGACTCAACTGTCCAGTTTTTGACATAAAAAAGTTACGAGGTAACCAAAGAAACAGGAAAGTATGATTCATTCAAAGGAAAAAAAAAAATAAACAGAAACCTTCCCTGAGAAAGACCAGATGGCAGATCTACTAGACAAAGACTTTAATATGAGTGTCTTACAGAGGCTCAAATAACTGAAGGGAAAAATAGAGAAAAACAAGAAAATGATGTATGGACAAAATGGAAATAGCAATAAAGAGATAGAAAAAATAAAAAGGAACCAAAAAAAATTCTGGAGCTAAAAAGAATAATTGAAAAGAATACTAAAGAGATTTGAAAACAGAACTGAAAGGCAGAAGAAGGAATCTGAGAACTTAAAGATAAGACAATTAAAATTATCAAGCTGAGGAGCAGAAAGAATAAGGATTGAAAGTGAACACAGTCTATGGGAGCTTTTGGACATCATCAAGCAGACTAACATATGATTGTGGGAGTCCCAGAAGGAACAGAAGAGAGATAAAGGCAGAGAGATTATTTGAAGAAATAATGGCCCAAAACTCCCCCATCAATTTATATTGATGAAAAACATGAATATAAATACCTAAAAATTCATACTCTAAGAAGGATAAACACAAAGAGATCCACACCAAGACACATAACCAAATTGTCAAAAGACGGAAACCCTTTTTTTTTTTTTTTTTTGAGACAGAATCTCCCTCTGTTGCCCAGGGTAGAGTTCAGTGGTACAATCTCAGCTCACTGCAACCTCCACCTTCTGTGTTCAAGCAATTATCCTGCCTCAGCCTCCTGAGTAATTGGGATTACAAGTGTCTGCCACCACACCCAGCTAATTTTATATTTTTAATAGAGACAGGGTTTCACCATATTGGCTAGGCTGGTCTAGAACTCCTGACCTCAAGTGATCTACCTGCCTTGGCCTCCCAAAGTGCTAGGATTACAGCCGTGATCCACCATGCCTGACCAAAAATTGAAACTCTTAAGAGAGAATCTTGAAAGTAGCAAGAGAAAAATGACTTGTTACATATAAGCAATAATCAATATGATTATCAACAGATGTCTCATCAGGAACCCCAGAGTTCAGCAGGCAGTGAGCTGATACATTCAAAGTGCTGTAAGAATTTGATGAAGGTGTTGGTTCATTAGACTGTTTCATGAATTTTATATAAACATCTATGGAGAAATTTCCCATCATGTCTATTAAAAATGTTTTTAAACTTTTCCAAAATTACTTATTTAAAATGCATTCACTACAACTAATGGAAGAATATATTTATTTACCTTATAATACAACATAATAGACAATACTATGTACATAGTTAACAATACCATGTGTATGTGTAGATACCCTTTCTACCTGCTTGCCTCTCCAGTCCTCCCTTCCCTGACTGTCTCATTTCCTCATTCCTCAAGGAGGTATTGTTGAAAGTCCTGGATACCCCTCATATCCATTCTGCCCCTTCATCTTAGTTCAACAAACCACAGACTTTGGCTAGTACATTGCTTTCCAGCTAAAAGACTGCATTTCCCAGCTTCCTTTGCAACTACATGTGGTCAATGCTTCTAAAATCTAGCCAGTGAGATGCTAGTGGAATTGTCCTGTGTGGCTTCTTAGAGCTCTCTAATAAAGAGAGTTTTTTCCTGTTTCTGTTACTCACAAGCAAACCTAATTCTACCTAATAACAAATATTGGCAAGGTTGGTGTTTCTTTCCGCATATTTCTCCAGGTCATACAAATATGTACAATCATATATACTAGATGTATATTTGAATGTGTCTCACATCCTTCCTTTAAAAATATCAAAATGTCTCTACTATCTTTTCTCAAAGAAGACAGTAAATGCAATAGGAAGCAAAAATTGCCTGTTATTTATAAATCTCTAATCAGCAAATATTTTAAAAAGACCGCTCTCAATATTGGCATATGTAAAACAAAATAAGTGCTCTCTACTCCTGCTGGTGGGGAAGGAACTAATGTAAACTTTCAGGATAGCAATTTAACAACAGGTAACAAGAGCTTTCGAAATGTTGCGATGTGGCAATTTCCCTTCTTAGGAGTTTATGTCAAGGAAATAACCAGAGAGCCAGAGATCTGTGTCTAGAAACATTCATGACCATCTCCCAGTTATGTTGAGAATGCGGATGGTTTCCCAGTAGGGAAGCAGCTCAGTGGAATATGGCCCGTCCACAAAATGGAATATCATGCAGTCATTAAAAGTGCTGTTTATAGATCATTTTAATGGCAGACACAATGCTCTGCCTGTGACGTAAAGGGGCAAACTATAAACTACACATGAAAAAAATATGTGCATCACACTTGAGAGAAAGCCCAAACGTAAACATTTGAACACGCTGGTGTCAGGTCTCTCTAGGGGACACTGCTCGTAACCTCGAGTCACTTCATGCATTTTTCTTTGTTTCCTAGATGTGGAAAACATTTACCCAATGCATTTACCCAGGTTATGTAAACATTTACCCAGGGGCATAGGAGGCACACTGTAAGTTGCTGCAATCACGGTAAATACTGAATCCTGACGACATGGTTGACGTCAAGTCCTCTGAGCTCAAAGCACCCATAATCGCAGTCCCCCCCACCACCCCTGCAGGAGTCTCACATGCTACCTGACAATCTGACTGCACAGTCTAATTCCCTGCCACAGCCCGGGCTGGTGGACAAGGCTTCCCGTAGTTGGGCAGCAGAATGACCAATGCCTGGATGACAGAGTGTGTTTTGGCCCATGGTCCTGAGTGGGGAGGAACGGGGAGCTGAGGTGAGGAGGACAGAGCAGCCACAAGCCTGCTACCTCCAGGCACTTCGCGTGCCTCCGTGGGCGCTGCATCACCTATGGTCCCACTTCACACGTGGGGACAGCCAGGCCCTGGCACCTTGCCCTATCATCCTTCCCTGGTTCTGTGTCTCTCGGTGCCAGTCATTTCTGTGTGTTGAATTTCAGTCCATAGACACAGGACTACAGCTCCTGCCACTGTGGGGTCCTCTCTTCCTGTGGGCTGCATGGTAGCTGCAAAATAGCATTACTCTCCTTTTCTGCACAGTCCTTGGGGCTGCACAGCACAGGGAACAGGCAGGGCAGTGAGGGGAAGGGGCTAGGCCTCAGCGTTCAGGAGTCCAGCCCAACCCTGAGCCACCTGCTAAGGCAGCTTCTTCCTCACTCTCCACTGAAAACTGAGCTCCACTAGGCAGAATCTGGATTTGATCTATTATTCAGAAAAAAAAAATTAATAAACTCCTTTCCTAGGCCCTCCCATTAGATGAGAACATGTGAAGGGAGGCATCCCCAAGCGTCCCAGCCACAGCCACACCATAGTTGGGAGGGGTGACTCCATAGGTGGGGCCAGCCGAGCCCCCTCTGTCACCTATCCTCTGCCCTGGAACTTGGCAATGTCTTCTCAGAGGGCAATAAAGTTCCAGAGTGAGAGAAGGCAAAGGAACAGCGGTGGGAGGGAAGCTGTTTAGGGCTTCAAAATGGGCCTGTCCAGACCCCTTTACTCATGTCTCCCACACGCATTTGGTGCTGGCTGGGCAAGAAAAGAAAACAAGAAACTGAGGTATTCCTGGTTTTCCTTTTTATTCTATTGGGTTTTGGCTACTTTCTGAGTTTAAAAACCTGGGACTGAACCCAAAGACCACTGCCCTGGGCCCACTCCAGAGCTGCCCAACACACCTGCTTCCGAATGGAAACCGAGGCGAGGCACTTTGCCCTGGCTGCCCTTTCACCTTCTGAGACCACCTTATGGGGTCCTGGTGGGGCTCCTTCTCTGCCTCCCCCTCCAGACTGTGCCCCCAGGGCTCAGGGCTGGCAGGGACCGGCACAGAGGGACCAGGAGGAAGGCTGGAGCATGTACAGGTGGGGATAGTGTCCCTGGACAATGAAGCTTTAGTGGATGAACCCACAGACGCCTCCCTGCGGGTCACAGAGGACAGGGCCACACCTGGCTCCCCACTGCACTCAGGGCCTTTCTAGGTATCCAGTGGCCGGAAAGTTTCTGGTATGGAGTGGGTGCTTCCCAAATGTGTGTTGAATGAAGGAGGGAGCAGAGACTCACCTGTTCCTGTGGATAGGAAGACAGGGAGGGGCTCCAGCCCTCACCCCTGGAATCAACCATCTGGGGGTGCATGGAGGAAGAACTCCGCCTCCCCACTGTTGGATGGATGGATAGACAGCCTGATGTGGGACCAGGAGGAGGTGTCCCCAGGCCACCCTCCCAAAACCCGGCTTAGAGCATCCCGACGCCATCCCCATATTAGAGATGGGGAAATGGAGGCCCAGGGAGGTGAGGAGACTTATCCAACGCCACAGAGCCCAGAGCAGCCGAGCGAGCCAGGAGGCAAATCCAGGCCAGACTGGCTCCAGGAGAGCCCGAGGCCTTCCCCACCCTCAAGGCCTGTGCAGCTGCCTTCTTCCTCCCACGCGCGGCCCCCAGCCTGGCCCTGACCCTGCGTTCCCCGCACATCCCCACAGGATCTGCAGATCATCAGCACGGACGAGAGTCAGGTGTTCGTGGCGGTGCAGGAGTGGTACCAGATGGACACCTACAACCTGTACCAGTCGGACCCGCGTGGCGTGCACTACGCGCTGGTCCTGCAGGACGTGCGCAGCTCGGGGCAGGCGGAGGAGAGCGTGCTCATCGACATCCTGGAGGTGGGTCTGGTGTGGATGTGGGCAGGGTCTGCCGCCAACTCCCTGCCCTCTCCCCGCACCTCCTCCTCCTCCCTCCCCTTCTGCCTGTCTCTAATGCTGTCTTAAGAGTCTGCACACATCTTCTGTAGACAGCCAAATATTTTAAGCTTTGCAGGCCAAGAGGCTATTATATAGGTATTTTTAGAGGAAGAGAATTTCCTTCTTGAGGAAATTTGAAGTACAATGATCATCGAGTACAAGTTTTTGTCATGAGAAGAATGGAATTCTTTGAGGGAATAACATTTTACTGACTTCCGTTCAGCCTGAGTGTTCTCTGCCAACTCCCTCACAAGCCCTCATCAGAAGTCCTGGGCTGGGGTCACCCCTGAGGGCAGCGCTTCTCTCTGAGTGCCCCGTCTCTCTCTCCCTCTCTCCCTCTCTCTCTCTACCCCAGCCCTTTCATCTCCTTTTCCCTCTCTGTGTCTGAAGTCTGCCTTCCTCTCTCTCTCTTTCTCTCTCTCCCTACCCCAGCCCCTTCATCTTCTTCTTCCTCTCCCTCTCTGTGTCTGAAGTTGGCCTTTCCTCTCTCTCTCTCTCTCTCTCTGTCTCGCTTGCTCTCTCTTGCTTCCTCTCTCTCGCTCTCGCTCTCTCTGTCTCCCTGGAATCCAGCCCTCCAGCCTCCCTCCTGTCACTTCTCTCACCACATATGAAGCTCTGGCCTCCCCTGCTGGGTTGCCATCCGAGCTTGGATGGGAGCCTTCCTTGCTGCCCTCCTGGGTTCCCGCTGGGCCTCCAGCATAAGCCTCCACTGACCCCAGAGAATGCCCCGTACATCGCACCACTGTTGCTCCATTTCCACCTGGATCCCTGCAACAGCCCTGCTCCGGCCAGGCCCATTTACAGGTCAGAAAACTGAGGCTCAGAGAAGGCAAATGGCCCGCCCAGGCAGACCCAGACGTAAGCAGGAAAACCAGGACCAGCCCAGGCCTGTCTGCTCTGAGCCTGGTGCCCTCCTCTTGGGACACCTCTCAGTTGTTCACCTCCAAGCTCCTTCCTCTTGCCTGTGGGGACACCCCCAAATGGCCCATTGACGCAGGCTGGGGGAGTGTCCTGTGGGTGGCCAGTAGACCCTGGGCAGGCAGTGGCATTGATGGGCTTGTGAGTGGGAGGCACCAGGCTCAGCATTCATCCCTCCCTTGCCAGAAGTAGCAGAACTGTGGTCCTCAGGAAAGTCACAAATGGAATCATTTGTTTGCAATGATAACCCATTTGTCAGGGTTTACCTCCCCAGCGGACGATGCAGATACAGCCTCGCTGCCAAAAGCCCCCTGCAGGCAGCGCCCATCCCCACCCCTAGTGTCCCAAAGGCCTTGCCCTGTGAGCCTCTAGGAGGGGACTGGGTCCAGCACAAACGTGGCTCTGGAAGGCAGTGGGTAGGTGATGATGGGATGGGAAGGGGGCCAAGAACAGGGTGGGGTGGGGCTCCACAGTTGTCCTGTCCATAGGCATCTGTGATGCCTGCACCACCGCATGCCATGTTCTGGGCCCTGCCCTTGGGACGCAGGCTGGATATGACATGCACCATTTACCCCTCATGAAGCAGGAAGACGGCTCCCAGCTGTAGTTCTGACTGAGAGTGCCGGGGCCTGAAGACATAGCACAGAGGCAGTTGGCCAGCCTGGGGCAGAAGTCAGGGAGTGCTTCCTGGAAGAGGCTGAGCAGGAGTTAGCCAGGTGCAGAAGGAGCTCAGGGCCACACACAGAAACCTCAAGGCAAGAGGAAGCAAGGAGCCAGAAGAGGTTTGCAGTGGCCCGGTCCAAAGGTGACACCCACTCTCCACCACTTGGGTGCCCTCCCAAGGGATATCCCTTCTCTGAAAACCATCAAACATGGGTCACAGCTGGTTGTTACAAGCACAACTCTGGAGCCTGACTGCCCGGGGTCAGGTCTATGAACTGGTATGTATTTGCTCTGTGGCCGTAGGTGGGTTTCTTAACCTCTCTGTGCTTCCCTATGTGCAACAGGGATGGTAGCAGCACCTTCCTCACACGGTTGCTGTGAGTTTTAAGGCTGTCATTCCTATTGAATAGGCAGAGCAGCGCCTGGTTCCAAGTGAGGACTCACTTTGTTTGCCCAGCACTTACCCTTTCTGGGGATCAGGGATAATTAATGAGTGGGGGCTGACCCCTGAGTCTCACTGCACACGGCCAGTACTGTTACTGTCGTGGTTGTGCACCCAGCAGCACATCCAGGAAAAATGTTTGGTGCAGATGACACAGCCAGGTACTGCCTCAGAAGGCTGCGGGGATCTCTTCCCCTGCAGGGCACAACCTAGGTTTGAGGCAAGACAGCAAATCTTTCCTGGACTCCTCTTGTGCTGGAGCTTGGGTTATGAATGGGGACTTAGGGAACATAGCCCTGTCCCCTACCCCCAAGGAGCCCTGGCAGCAGGCATCTCAATGGGCTGAATGGTGACCCCGAAATAGGCATCAAAATGGTGGCCCACATCCTAATACCCAGGCCCTGCAATGTGACCTTATTTGAAAAAGAGATTTTTGCAGCGTCATGAAGTGAAAGACTCAAGCAGACATCATCCCAAATTATCCAAGGGGCCCTAAATGCAATCACAAGTGCCCTTATCTGAGACAGGAGAGGAGCCACAGGCTCACAGAGTGGCCCCGTGGGGACAGAAGCAGAGACTGCAGCCGCAGGCCAGGGAGGGCTGGAGGCGCGGAGCTGGAAGAGGCAGGAAGGATCCTTCCCTGGGGTCTGCAGAGGGAGCACAGCCCTGCCCATGCCCTGACTTTGGACTCTGGCCTCCAAGAGAATGAATTTATGTTGTTTGAAGCCAAACAACTTGTGGGACTTTTTCTTACAGCAGACACAGGAATGAATGCAGCTGTGATATGGGCAGTTATGCAGCGACACACTGATATTCTGAGCTAATGCTCCACCAGTCAGACCCACCCAGGGGCCTTGGCCTATATCTGGATCCACGTTCTTTATTGCTGAGCGTTTTCATGGAGACCCAGCTGGGATATAAAATGGCAATTACCCAATAACAAAAACCATCATGGGCAAATCAGCCTTTTACCTGCCCGGAGGACAGCAGAAAAGCATTTCCACCAAGCAATGGGCAGGGCAGAAGCCCTCTGGGTGATGTCCCTGGGTCCCCGTCCTGCCTGCCTTGTCGGGGTCCTATGAGCTTGTAAGACACAAAGACTTGCGGCACGTTCCCCGGGCCTCCCTTCAGCACCAGACCACACAGCAAAGGATGTGCAGCCATTTGGTGGGGGTGTGGCTGGTCCGAAGTCTAGCACAGAGGGACCTGTCTGCAGCCAATTTATAGCCAACACTCACACTCACACACACAGACACAGGCTCACACACATGCACACGCTCTGCCCTCTCCCAGCCCCCGGCAGCTCATCTCCTGCAGACCAAGCCCAGAGTCTGGAGGGAACTCAAGACGCCTGTAAGATGGAGTCCTGGGTTTCTGCAGGGCCTGCAGTTGGTACCGCATCTCACAAAGAAGCTGGACTCTGGGCCAGGGACCCCATCTGCAGTCATCAAGTCGAGTGAACAGGAGACAGAGTGATGCCATATGGGCTGAAGGAGCTGGCTCATCCTAGCCTCTGAGACTGTCCACCCAGCAGGACCATTGATGAAGCTTCCTCTGCAGAGAGGAAGGCTACCCCCAGACCACAGCATCCTATGCAGATAATACTGGCAGCTGAATGCTCTGTGCATGGATTTGCCACATGTATGACGTTCCCTAGAAATTCTGGGAGGATGCTCACAGTGTAATCCACCTGGCTCCTAACTCTGCCTACCTGTGTTGATAAGACCTGGTGGGTCCCAAGGCAAAGAGCCTGTCCTGCCCCCCAACTCCCACATCCAGTGAAGGCAGCCCTGAGTCTCTGAGAGCCAACTCTGAGGGTAGCCTAAACCAGTCACAGCCATCAGTGGGAAGCAAAAGATCTGTAGCTACCACCCTATGCCTGCCCCAACCTTGCACTTTGAAACAGACAACTCATTTGCTAGTTTCCCAGCTCCACAGATGGATTTTACCCAGAGCTCACCCACATCTGGTTTAGATGACTTAGATGGGAAGATTTGGAGCTTTTGATCTGGTGATATATAGAGGAGACTTTTGACTTTGAATTAATGCTGTAATGAGATGAGAACTTTGGGAACCTTGATGGGGTGAATGTATTTTGCTTGAAGACTGATGTGTGTCCTTCGGGGTCAGAGGAGGGACTGTGCTAGAGAGAATAGTGCCCCCCTCAAAGATGGCCACATCACAAGCCCCAGAACATGCATGTATGTTACCTTATGTGGTAGAGGAGGAATGAGGTTGCAGATGGAATTAAGGCTGCTCGTCAGCAGACAGGAAGATGACCTGGGTTATCTGGAGGGGCCTAGGGTCAGCACACAGGTCCTTAACCTTGGAAGAGGTAGGCAGGAGATAGAGAAGATGTGATGGTGGAAACATGGTCAGAGAGATGCAGCATTGCTGGCTTTGAAGACAAAAGAAGGAGCCATTAGCCAAGGAATGCCGGTGCCTCTAGAAGCTGGAAAAGACAAGGAAAGGGATGCTCCTTTGGAGCCTCCAGAAAGGAATGTGATTCTACTGACACTTGACTGTGGCCACATGCTAGGCTTCTGCCCTCCAGAGCTGTGGGAGAATACATGTGTGTTGTCTGAAGCCACTGGGTTTGTGACCATCTCTTATAGCAGCTGCAGGAAGCTCAGACCCCGGTCCTCTGGTTTCATCATCATGGCTGCTGTTCTTCTCCCCTTGAGGACCTGCTGGAGTTGTGAGAATTCAGTGAGAGGACATGTATTAAGCTCAGTGCCTGTAACATAGAAGCACTTAATAACTGTATGCCATTACTATCCTAACTAGAATCTTTGGCTATGGGCCTTTGGGCAGGTGGCACCCCCTCTGAGCCTCAGTTTCCCATGGTGCAGGCTGCATATACAGGTGTAGAAACAGTTTCTGACCTGGAACACAGGAGGCCTTGACAAGTGGTGGGCATTCTTGTGCCTCTTCACACCACACTAGTGGATCTTGATAAATATGAGTCAAAACCCTCCATGAAATAAGGAACTTGCAGGAAAAGACCCTCTCTGGGAGCAAACCATTCGGTTGAACTATGTGAAGTTGCCGACAGTTGCACGTTTCTTATAGGTCAACTTAGTAACCACTCTTGGACGTTTGGGTCACTGCCATGGGCCTCTTAGGAAACCTTGAGAAAGGGACCAGGTTAGCTCTGAGCACTGAAGGCAAGTGGAGCCCTGTCCTGGGTGTTCTAGTGGAAGTATGGACCCTCCTGTCTTCATTCCTTGGCATGTTTGTATGTGGATTGAGCTGGGGTTCCCCAGAGGCAAGCCCAGGGGCAATTCTATTGGTCCAGGATGCATGGTCCAATAGAAACAAGAGGCACTGGGGGGATCTGAGCTCTGAATCAGGACCTCTGAGGCAAGGATGGGGTGAGTTTGAGGGACAGGCAGGTCAGGGGTCCAGAACCCCACTTGCCATCTGATGGTTGGTGTCTGGACCTGGGAGAACAGCTCAGCACCATGAAGATCATTCAGGCTTCAGAGCTAGACCAAACTAGCTTCCCATTAAAGCTGGGGCCGGAGTCTTGGATCCCTGGTCCCTCTAAACCTCACTCACCTCTAGAATGTGTCTCAGCTGCTGGCCATTGTGAGTGTGAAATGAGGCCACATGTGGGCTGGAGCACGGTGGATACATGGTCATCAGAGTGCTCCAGTGTAAGGTTACAGTCCTTCTTGTATTTTTGTCCCAGGTCAGAGGGGTGAAAGGAATCTTCCTGGCAAACCAAAAAATTGATGGGAAAGTGATGACACTTATAACCTACAACAAGGGCCGCGACTGGGATTACCTGAGGCCACCCAGCATGGACATGAATGGAAAACCAACCAACTGCAAGCCTGTAAGTACCTCGGCTCACATCACATACCATCCATGGGGTGGATATTAGATATAGCTTCAGTAATCAAAAAGGTCAGAGGTGGTGATGTCTGAGAAGGACCATCTGAGACACATGAACCACCTATTTCTGCTGGGCATGGTAGAGAGGGTCAAATGAAACTCCTTGTTTTACAGAAAAGTTAATTGGAGGTCAGAGAGGGAAGTGCATCAGTTTTTCACGCAGAATTGCTGTGCAATAAGCCACCCAAAAACAACATTTATTTCCCAGATCTACAGGTGGGCTCAGCTGAGTGGCTTTGCCAACCTTGGCTGGGCAGCTCTGCTGATCTTGTCTGGGCTCAGCTGGGCGGCTCTGCTGACCTTGGCTGGGCTCAGCTGAGTAGCTTTGCTGATCTTGCCTGGGCTCAGCTGGGCAGTTCTGCTGACCTTGGCCGGGCTCAGCTGAGTGGTTCTGCTGATCTTGGCTGGGCTCAGCCGGGCAGCTCTGCTGATCTTGTCTGGGCTTGCTCATATGTCAGGGAATTGACTGATTTAGGCTGGTCTCCACTCTGCACATCTTGCATCCTTCTTCTGGAATCAGCTTAATTCTCATGGTGATACCAGAAGTACAAGAGGATAAACAGAAACAGGCAAGTACATTTCAAGCCTGCTGGTAAAGTCTGCTAAAGCTTACTGGTCAACATCAAGGATCTGGGAAGTGTGCTCTGCCCAGGGGAATGAGGGCTGGAGAGCAGACACTTGCTTCTAATTTGCCATGGAAGGCAGTGTACCATCATACTGTCAGTAAGTGATGGAGTTGGGCCAGAGCTCAGACATCATGAGCCCCAAAGCTGGCCCACTATCCCAGGGACACCTTTCTACGTGAATAGAAGTGTCGACTGCCTGAGTCCTTGGTTGCCTAGAGTTGGGAGGGATCTCTCAAAGTAGCTGGGACTCTTGCCAGCTGTGATGTGGCTACCAGGGATCCAGGTGGTGCACAGGCCCATGCTGGTGAGGAAGGAAAGATAGAGCTGTAAGGAGCCCTGATCCTAGCTAAAGTGAGCACTCAGCTGCCAGGGTCCAGTGGATGCAAGGGAGGAAGAGGCTGAATGGGCCAAGAGAATCTGACCAGCTTCTCACTCCCCTTCCAACACCCCCATGAGACCTAGCCTCTCCCGGGGCCTCTCTCCTTGCATACCACAGGGAGCTCACCACCACCAGCATCCCTGCCCCTTTCTGGGTGCTGGGCGACTCAGGGTGGGAGAAGGGTCTAGTGTTGGAGCTGCACAGAGCTGCTGTCTTAGCCCCCTGACTGTGTGATCTTGGTTACATCAACCAGTGACTCTGAGCCTCTGTTGAAAAGGGAGGAAGATGATAAACATCCCTGTGGCACTGGGGTGAGGATGAGATCAAAGAATGCAGAGACCGGCCTATGCCTGGCATGGAGCAAGCTGCAAGGAAGAGTGAATCTCGTCCCTTCCAAGCTCTCCCTCTTTCTACACTGTCCCCAAGGCCTAGAATGCCCCCTCCCTTTTCCTCATCTAGCAAGCTCCTACTAACACCTGAAAACCTTGCCCACATGTTCCCTCCACTGAGGAGCCTTCCCTGGGCATACTGCTTCTCTGTTTCCCACTGCTTCTGTTTCCCACCCAGAAGCATCTCTTAGACACTACACACTGGGGACACCTGAAACCACCCATCTCTCTGCCTCAGCTTCCTCATGTATAAAATAGAAAGAACAAAAGTACCTGTTTGACAGGGTTATATTCAGCAAATCTGCGTGAACACTTGCTATGTGCCAGGCACTGTTCTGCGGGCTCAGAACACACAAACCAACAAAACGAAAGACATTCCCTGTCTTCCTGGGATTCCACCTGGCACACAGGCACACAGCAGGGCTTAGAAAATGGTGAGCCGCTGCCGCCACCGGCCCCAGTGTTGGCCCATGGAGGCCATGGCACCAAGAGGCGAGCAGTTCCTCCTCCCAGACAGCCCTCACCCCAGAGCCAGGGCGGGACTCTGGCCCCCAGGGCAGCCCGTCGCTCTAAGCTGAGGCTTGAGCTCTGACTTGGGAACACTCACCTCTCAGAAGCCTGCTGTCTGCCTCTGCTTAAGCCCCCAACTCCTGCTGATAATACCTGTCGACCTGTGTGGAGAATTAATTACCTGCCCTTTGTAAAAATGCTTCCCAGAACAAAGTTGCTGTGAAAGGGCTAATTTTTGTATCATCATCGGCAAAGTTAAGCCATATTAATCTGTCAAAGCAAGTTTTTGCTAAGAATAGATTCTTGTCTGCGATTATGCAGCTCAGTGAGGAGATAACCTCGGTGAGATTTATGTCTTGACCTTGAAACAATGAAATAGGAGCAAACTGGTGAGCGTGCAGCCCCAGGCAGGCATGTGGGAACCCGACTGGGCATGGTGGAAAGTAGAGCCAAGTGCACGGAGCCCACGGGGGCACAACAGACATCAAACTACAGCCTCACGGGCTGGGCACGGTGGCTCACACCTGGAATCCCAGCATTTTGGGAGGCTGAGGCAGGCGGATCACCTGAGATTGAGAGTTTGAGACCAATCAGACCAACATGGTGAAACCCCATCTCTACTAAAAATACAAAAATTACCCAGGCATGGTATCACATGCCTGTGATCCCAGCTACTTGGAAGGCTGAGGCAGGAGAATCGCTTGAACCTGGGAGGTGGAGGTTCCAGTGAGCCAAGATCGTGCCATTGTACTCCAGCCTAGGCAACAGGTGGTGAGATTCCGTTTCAAAAAAATAAATAAAATTATACATATATATATATAAAAAACACCCGCATGACAAGAGGCCTGGGCTATCCTGTATGTGTGGCCATGGCATCTCCAAGGGTGAAAGTGCGGAAACCAGGACAAACTGGGCCACTCACAGGACCTCTGACTATGTCCCTCCTACAGCCACAGCCTCTCAATGAATAGGCAAACTGTACCTGAGGACTTAGTACTCATAAAAGTGATGCCTGATTATTGCAGAATTCTTGGAAGATACAGAAGGTTGTAAAGTGAAAGTATGTAAGAATCCACCATCAGAAATTAGCGCTGGGTATTTTTGTTCTTTACAATCTTTCACTCATGCACACGTTACGGAAAGTCGTCATGGGGATCACGTATGCGTGATTTTCAGCCCTCTGTTTTTCTCTTGACTCTGGAGTCACGAATCTTTGCCAAACCCGCGGCCTGTGCCTATCTGGGGATACCTCCTTCCCCTCAATGGGAAATGCAGGGATGGCTTTAACAGAGGAGTGGCATGATCAGATATGTTTTAGGATGATCCAGCTTCATTGGGAGTGGTTTTGAATCTGTTGCATCTTGAATTCAACATAAAACTTCATTCACTGCACAGTCCATGGTCACTCTTCTGTAGGGGCGTGAGGCTGTGATGAGTGCTAGGCATCCAGGTGGCTGGTGCCATCTCCCAGTGCTGATCCATCTGGTAGTCTTTGATGATTTGCTAGACACTTCTTTAGGAGCACCCTCCTGGCCCTATGTGCCAAACAGGCAGAGAAGGAGAGTCCTGGGACAGCATCAGCCCCCAGCTTGGCTTGCCTCCAGCCCTGCAGGAACCCAGCTGCTAAGTGTTACTGCAGCATTCTGCACAGACTCAGGGCCACAGCTGTCACCAGAGGGTCTCTATCATGTATCCTCGGTGGCCTCGGAGAAGCCCCATCTCTGGCGACACGCACCCAAGGCTAGTTCTGGGGCTCCTGATGCACACTGGCCTGCCACCTGTGCAGGGCATCCTGGTGCCCACTGTGGGCGGGGCTCCTCCAGGCCTGCTGGCATTGCCCTTCCTTTCACCACTTGGTGGCCCGGGCTCCTGGGTGGGAGTGAGTGTGTCAATTTGGCACAGTGCCTGCAGCTGCCTCAGGAGCTGCAGGAGACGTCTGTTTGGCCATCAGCGGGCCCCAAGGTGAATGCAAAGGGATTACCGTGGTACCTTGTGTTTCCAGTGACCTGCCAGGCCATAACTGGCCACCCCACGGGAACCCACAGGGGAGGTTCACTTCTCTGGCCTGAGTGCCAGGCAACCCAGGATAGGCCACTAGTGGTGAGGGGGTGGGGAGAGGTAGCTAGGGTTTGCTGGGAAGCCTTCCCTCTAATTCCAACTCTGCCCACTGTGCATGCAGCAAGTGACCAGATGTGCACAGCTCATCAGGGGAATGGGAGAGGTTGATGGAGACCAGCCCATGAGCTCTGGCCTTCTAGAAAACCTAGAATATCAAAGCATGGCAGAGCCAGGGCGGCCTCTGCCAGGCATGCTGCTGCTGCTGGGGACTCCGCACCACACCCCTGCTGACTCCTTCTCCTGATTAGAGCTGCCTTCTGCAGTGCGACCAAACCCTGCCTACCAGGATCACAGCGGCCTCCTTCCCCAGCAAGCCGCCTCTGTCTTCCTTCCTGAGCTATCTGGGGGGCAGGAGGTAGGACTGAAAGGTGCCAGACCTGCTTTCCGTTGTAAATCGGAAGAATCTATTGCAGCGGGCAACGTCTTAACATCTCACCTTGGGTGTTCAGTGGGGCCTGTTGTCACCATTCGATCCAGGTGTTTCTGGAACCCTCAGGTGGCTCTCCAGGGTGACATGGTGCCCAGGCTCCACCACCCGGGGCCCTGTGGTCTTCAGCTCGGACTCCCTGGGTTCCCCTGGGGATGGTCTCAGTCCCTCAGACATCTTCAGGATGTGCGTCTGCAATGGTCTTAGGGCACCTTTCAGCTGGTTACAACCTTTCTTTTTTTTTTTACAAAACAGCTTTGTTGAGATCTCTCATCCACAGTTCACCTTTCAGAAATTACCCAAGTTCAGTGGCTTTTAGTCTATTCACAGAGTTAGGCCACCATCACCACTGTCCCTTTTAGGACATTTTCACCGCCCAAAAAAGAAGCCCCTGATCCTTAGCTGTCACCTCCCTATCCCCATCAGCCTCAGCCCCTGGCAACCACCTGTCCATTCCTGGCTCTATGAATTCCCTGCTCGGGCATGGCTCATGGATGAATCGTACAACATATAGTGCAGCCCATTACATCCTGACCCAAATCCTGGAGCAGACAAATAAAGGCCATCTGCCGACTGCAACGCCACCAGTGCGCACATCTTATCCAAGTCAATATCCAATTTCCTGAACGGTTTAACATTTAAGTTAGGGTCACCTGTGTAAAACGTAAGCAATTCATGGGCCAGAAGAAAGTGTTATTATAACATGAAATGAAGAGAGAAGTGTTATTATAACATGAAATGAAGAGAGAGGTTATCTCTGACGTGGATGTTAGTAGATGATATGACACCGCAATGATGAGGGGATTCTGGAATGAGCCCTGCAGAGCGGGTCAGCAGGCCTCACCATCACTGTCTCCATTTTGCAGATGAGGAAACTGAGCCCTGAGGCTGCCCAGAAAATTAGTGGTGCCTCTTAAGTTACAATTTGGATCTCTGGGCACCCAGTTCTAGGATATTTTTAAGCTGGAGATTTTTGACAGAAAAGAAAAATAATTTTAAGGTGGCAAATACAATGTTTACCATTCTTATAAGTAAACAATTAGGCAGTACCTTGCCCAGGGGAAGGGCTGGACCCCAGAGGTGTGCCATATTAATCCAATATCCTGTGAAGCAGAGGTTATTGTCCCATCTCACAGAGAAGAAAGAAAGGCACAGGGAAGCTAAGCATTTTTCCTAAGGCCACACCTCCATTTAGAGGAGGTACGAGGAGTCCAAGCCCTGCCCTTTCTGTGACCAGCCTGAGGACTGCCCTGCCTCACTTCACCCTGTGGAGTTCCCTGACTTGGGGAAATTAGGAAGGCTGAGCCCAGAGTCATTCCCCCACAAAGCCTTTCGGCATCTGTCGGTTCAGTGGGGTCTCTGGTGGTGCACCTATGTCACCAAGGAGGACTCGGCCAGCCAGACCTCTGAGACCCAGTATCTCAGGCTGCCAGAGGGAGATCAGGAGAAATGGGGTCTCCGGAGCCAGCCCCCTGGGGCTCTTGCACACTTAACCCACCCCTCTGTATCTCAAAGTGGGAGAGTCTTACGGGGTGACATCCTCTGATGCCAGGGGTACTGTGGTCACATAAGAGGCTCCCAATAAAAGTTCTGCATAGGTGAATGAATGAATATGAGCTTGGGCCATGCAGGCTCCAGGAATCACATCCCACAACCCAGCACTGCACACAGGACCTGTGTTGGTGAACCCACCTGCCAGGACCCATTCCCAAGAGCCCTCAGTGGGAGAAGCCCCAGCAGCTGCATCTGTGAGCAGAGGCACCACACCCAGGGGCTGCAGGGGTCCCTAATCTAGACCAGGGAACCAACAGATCCTCCTGGGTGTCTCACCATACCTAGATGCTCTGGGGGTCCCTAATCTAGACCAGGGAACCAACAGATCCTTCCAGGTGCCTCACTTGTGCCCGCTTCCACCTCCCAGGCTGTCAGCACAGGATCTGCTGAAGCTTTCCTTGTCCTTCCCACCCTTTCCCTAGAGGTCAGCCTCACACCCGCTTCCCATCCTCCATCCATTCCTCCAAGGCACTCCTGGCCCAGCCTTCTCTCCCAAAAAGCCACAGGGGCAGGTTTGCCATCGGGCCTAGTTTTCCTAAGGATGCTCCTACTCATGTGTTGACAATTGCTTCCTTTCTCTTCCTTGCAGCCAGACTGCCACCTGCACCTGCACCTGTGCTGGGCAGACAACCCCTATGTATCAGGCACCGTGCACACCAAGGACACCGCCCCAGGCCTCATCATGGGGGCAGGTAGGTGACTTCCATCACGGGCAGCTGACAGGTGCCATTACAGCCCAAGAGTACCTCCAATCTCAAGGGTCAAAATGGATGGTCATGGGCCTGAGGGCATAGTATGTCCCTTAGGAAGCAGTACCACTGCATCTCCAGGAAGCTGAGCTCTCATGGCAAATTCTGAGAAGTGAGTGCATGGCCCAGGGTGGGCATATGATATGTGTCAGCAGAATGGAAAGATGAACAGATGGAAGAGTTGACCAATGGATGGATGGATAGATGAAGTGATAGATGATGGGTGGGTAGATGTTGGATGAATGATGGCTGGCTGGATGATGGACAGATGGTGAATGGATGGATGGAGGATGGATAGGTGAATGGATCGATGATGGATGGATGGATGATGGTAGATGAGTGGTAGATGGGTGGTAGATGGGTGGGTGGGTGGATGGATGAGTGGGTGGATGGGTGTGTGGATGGATGAGTGGGTGGGTGGATGATGGATGATGGATAGATCCTGAATTGATGGATGGATGAATGGATGAATGACGCATGATGGATGGATGATGGTGGATGGGTGGTGGATAGGTGGATGAGTGGGTGGATGGGTGTGTGGATGGTTGGATGGGTGGATGGATGATGGATGATGGATAGATCCTGAATTGATGGATGGATAGATGAATGGATGAGTGATGCATGATGGATGGATGGATGATGGTGGATGGGTGGTGGATAGGTTGATGAGTGGGTGGATGGGTGTGTGGATGGTTGGATGGGTGGATGGATGATGGATGGATGATGGTGGATGGGTGGTGGATAGGTGGATGGATGGGTGGATTGGTGTGTGGATGGATGGATGAGTGGGTGGATGGATGATGGATAGATGCTGAGTTGATGGATGGATGATGCATGATGGATAGATGCTGAATAGATGGATGGATAGATGAATGGATGCATGATGCATGATGGATGGATGATGGTGGATGGGTGGTGGATAGGTGGATGGATGGGTGGATTGGTGGTGTGATGGATGGATGAGTGGGTGGATGGATGATGGATAGATGCTGAGTTGATGGATGGATGATGGATGATGGATAGTTGCTGAATGGATGGATGGATAGAGAATGGGCGGATGATGGTGGATAAGTGGTGGATAGGTGGATGGGTGGGTGGATGGGTGTGGGGATAGATGCATGAGTGGTGGATGGATGATGATAGATGCTGAATTGATAGATGGATGATGCATGATGGATGGATGTTGGTGGGTGGGTGGGTGGATGATGGAGTTTATAGATAGATGCTGAATGGATGGATGGGTGGTGGATAGATGAATGAATGGATGATGCATGATGGATGGATGATGGTGGATGGGTGGTGGATAGGTGGATGGGTGAGTGGATGGATGAGTGGATGGGTGGATGATAGATGGATGATGGGTGATGGATGATGGGTGAATGGATAGATAGATGATGAATGAATGAAAAATGGATAGAAAAATGGATAGATGGGTAGGTGGATAAATGGATGGATGATTTGTATCATGGTTGATATTTATTGGCCCCTGAAAAAAGTTCTAGTTTAGTGGGGGGAGAAAAACAAGTATACAACTAGCACTTTTTTCAAAACCCAAAATTATAATTTTTGTGTCTGTCTTTTCCCCTAAACTAGAACATCCAAGAATCCTGGTATACTGATCAAATAATACCATAAAATGAGGTTGATTTGCTTTAGAAGAACCATTCAAAACACAAAGTAGAGTCACCTGTCTGGGGTCACTTGGCTGGTGTGTGGGAGAGTCGGGCAAGACTTTGCACATGGGGTCTGTGACAGTCAGAGAGGCAGTGTCTCCTGCAGACACTGGACAGCAGAGGCCCAGGCCCAAAGCTCACACTTCCTGAACCCAGGACCCCTTCCCTCCATTTCCCCCGGTACCATCTGCCACAGAGAGGGGTTGGCCGTGTGGCCAACAGCCAAGGATCATATGGATGTGGGCCCCAGACTCTGAGCTGGATACCATATCTGACCCTTCACCATATCCCAGCACCGAGCTGGGGCCTGGCCCAGGGTGGGCCCTTCAAGGCTGTTTATGAATGAGTGAGTGAAGGGACAAGTGAATGAGTGGCCATGTTGTGATGGCAGGAATGGCCTTCTGGGTGGAAGGGGGAACATGGGGACCCCAAAGGACCAGACCAGAGTGCATGGAGTGGCTGGAGGTGAAGCCTACATGCAGGGCTGGGTCTGACGGCAGAGACTTGGCCTGTCTGGGGAGGTTGGGGCTTTGCAGCTGGGAAGAGAGGGGATTGTGAACAAAGCCCTTCAGCTTCTGGAGTTCCTCTGTGTGCTCTATATGCCCGGGGTCCTAGGCAGTGACAGCCCATCTGGACAGCCTCTGTCTGCCCCCACAATGACCAATGAAAATGCGACCTGTCAGCGTCAATGTGAAGCCGCTCACTGCCTATCAGCTTCCACGCACAGACAGACTCACCAGCCACGTTAGACGCCCCCAGTCCTGTGGACTTGGTTTCCTGGGCTTCTCAGTGACAGGGTATTTAAAATGCACTATCTCGATTGGCTGAAACCCCAAATTCTTGACCAAAATACAAAAGGCATAATTTCCAATGTTTCCACCGCTCAAAGGCCCTGAGAGCCCAGAATGAGCATCCCGGTCCCCCCCCATCTCTCAGTGCATCCCTGAATTGTGCAGGAGTCACACAGAGCACTGAGAGCAGCCCCCCTCGCTCTGTGGGGGTGTCAGTCACAGCCAGTCACAGTCTTCCTCCTTCCCTACCTGCCCCCGCCCCCCACTGTCCCTACAAGGGCAGGAGGCTACACTTCTATTGTATTCCACTTCTGTTCAGTCTTGGGCAGGGCTTTCCTGGAAGATGGAGCCAGCTGTGCAATGTGGGCCAATTGATGTGTCCATTGTTTCCATCCTCCTCTCCAGCCCTGAGCATCTGCTGAGAGCAGGAGGAAAAGGCGTGTGGGCTGGCTGCTGCACATCTGCTGGCCCGACATGGCCGCCTGCCCTGGCACAGGTCCCGAGGCCATGTGGCCGCACTGCTGGAGGCGGCTGGGGATGATGGCTACCTGTTTCCACAGGGTCGCTCCCCTGCCCGCCCTGTCATTCATTCCTGAATTCCATCCCCGAGCCAGGCAGATAAGAGGGATAAGCCCCAGGCTCTACGCCTCCCAGCTGTAGGACTCTGAGATTTCACTGCACTTCTCTGAGCCTGTTTCCTCATCTGCAAAATGAGACGACAAAACCTCCACTGTAAGAATGAGACGGGGTAAGACAGGAAACCTTCAAGGCAGTTGTGCTCTGCCAGGCTGTCCTCTCATCCAAGGGGACGCTGGACACTCCCTGACCTGTGCCTCATTCATGGGATACCTCCTTCCCTCAATGGGGAAATGCAGGGATGGCTTTAACAGAGGAGTGGCATGATCAGATATGTTTTAGGATGATCCATAGTCATTGAAGGTGGTTTTGAATCTGTTTGCATCTTGAATTACAGTATAAAACTTCATTCACTGCACAATCCATGGTCACTCTTCTGAGGCGTGAGGCTGTGATGAGTGCTAGGCATCCAGGTGGCTGGTGCTGCATCTCCCAGTCCTGATCCATCTGGTAGTCTTTGATGATTTGCTGACACTTCTGGCACCTCTGGCCCCTGGTGCCAAACAGGCAGAGAAGGGAGAGTCCTGGGACAAAGACTGGCCCTCAGCTTCTTGGCTTTGCCTCCAGCCCTGCAGGAACTCAGGCACACTTCAGTCAACACTGCAGCATTCTGCACAGACTCCCAGGGCCACAGCCTGTCCTGGGGGCTTCCTGTCCTTGTCCTGGGTGGCTCCTTTGAGGAAGCCCCATCTCTGACGAAGCACGCACCTGTTGCCAGTTCTGGGGGCCTCTGATGCACACTGGCCTGCTACCCAGGCATCCCAGGCCCTGTGGGCGGGCTCCTCCAGGCCTGCTGGCATTGCCCTTCCTTTCACCTGGTGGCCCAGGCTCGGGTGGGAGTGAGTGTGTCAGACACCAGCAGACGGCGCCCTGCAGCTGCCTCAGGAGCTGGGGGGAGACGGCCTGTTTGGCCACTCAGCAGGCCCCTAAGTGTGGTCGCGTGATCGTGAGTGTTGCCCAGCCCACTAGTGACCTGCAGGCCATAACTGGCCACTCTCCCACAGGGAACCCTGAGGAGGGTCTCCACTTCTCTGGCCTGGAGTGCCAGGCACCAGGATAGCCACTAGTGGCAGGTGGGGAGAGAAGCAGGGCTTGTGGGAAGCAGCACCCTCTAATTCAACTCTGCCCACTGTGCATGCAGCAAGTGACCAGACGTGTGGCCCATCAGGAATGGGAGAGGCTGATGGACCAGCCCATGAGCCTGGCCTCTAGAAACCTAGAATATCGAAAGCACAGAGCCAGGCGGCCTCTGGCCAGGCAGCAAGGTTGCTGGGGACTCCCGCACCACACCCTGCTGAGCCCTTCTCCTGAACAGAGCTGCCTTCTGCAGTGCGGAAGCCAAACCCTGCCTACCAGGATCACAGCGGCCTCCTTCCCCAGCAAGCCGCCTCTGTCTTCCTTCCTGAGCTATCTGGGGTAGGAGGTAGTGGTCTGAAAGGTGCCAGACCTGCTTTTCCGTTGTAAGAAATCGGAAGAATCTATTGCAGCGGGTAACGTCTAACATCTCGCAGGTGTTCAGTGGGGCCTATTTGTCACCATTCGATCCCAGGTGTTTCTGGAACCCCAGGTGGCTCTCCAGTACATAGTGCCCAGGCTCCTGCCATCTGGCCTGTATCAGCTTGACTCCTGGGCCCTCTGGGAGGTCTCAGTCCTCAGACATCTTCAGGATGCGCGCCTGCAATGGTCAAGTGGCAATTTCTTTGCATGAATTTGCAACCTTTCTTTTTTTTTTTTTTTTTTTTTAAAACAGCTGTTGAGATCATCCACATAGTTCACCTTCAAGTGCAAAGTTCAGTGGTTTTTAGTCTATTCATGAGTTAGCCAAATTAACACTTACCTCCTG